ATTTTTATTTCAAAAAATTTTTTTTTATCTTGCAATCATACACCAGGAAAAATATATCTCCATACCCAGGATGCTGCCCACTTTGCTCCCAGTCATTGTCTACATCAGGCTCTATCTTCTTCCTTGTTCTATGGTGCCTACAGCTGCAGGCCCAGCCTAAGCCTCACCTGTCTTGCACATTAGCTAGCTTTTTCAGAAAACAGAGGCACACTTTTCATCTATTTAGAGGTGAGAATGGCTTTTCCTAGAGTTTGAGGCGTCTGTCTCCAACTCCACATCTTCCATTCCTGKTGAGCTTTGGAGACGGGAGATCAGCTGTAAGGAAATGAGATGAGGATTCTGAGTGGCCCGTCTCCACCTTGCCTGCGCCTCAAGATCACCCAGGAAGATTTTCAAAGTTCCTGTGGCCAGACACTGTCCCAACCAGTTAAATAAGAGCCTCTGGGTGTTCGGCCCAGATCTCAGTATTTTTTTTTCAAAAATTTTTTCCCTAGATCATTCAATATTGCAGCCAAGGTTGAGAGCCATTGTTCCAGGAATAGCTACCTCCCCCTCTCCATAAAAGCTGATGAGGACAAATGTTTCTAATGGCAAAACTGAGCTAGGAATTCTAGTCCTTCTTTTAAAACTGGCTCTTTTGTTTTCTTATTCTCCCATCTATCGATTGTTACTGAGTACCTGATATGTGCCAGGCCTCTTCCTTCAAGATGCTAGAAGCTAAAAACTAGCCCACAGGATTCTGCGCACTACAAAGGAGATCCCAGTACCTTGTGCTGAGGGATGTGAATGAGCCAGGGAGCTATGGGAGTGGCAGAGGATAAGGGCTCTGACCGAGGAGGAGCACCTGGCAGCTTCCCAGAAGAAGTGGTGTCTGAATGGAGACTTGAAGGACCAGTAGGATTTGGGCAGGTGAAGAGGTATTTGTAGCTAAGAAAGCTGAACAAGAAGATGAAAGTAGAAATTCAGTCACTGTAGGTGCTTCGTGTGRCTAAGCTTGCAACGGGAATGGGGAGTGGGAAGAGATGAAGAACATGAACTCCAAATAGATCCCACTGGACCACACTGGAAACTTGAGGTTTGCTGCCCTTCTGGGGGGAAAATAAGATGGAGCCTGCATCTATTGAGGATAAGGACAGAGGGGGAATTTATGTTCTTAACTACTATGACCCCGACCATGTCTTTAGGTGTCTTCCATAGACTCACTGGGCAATGCCTTATGACCCTTGGGAATAAATGGCCCCTATCAGGAGCCTCCCCTGTGCTTGTCTTCATTCCTGGGGAAGGAGCACAGGTGTGAGATGAGACAGCACCCTCTTCTAGCCATTATCAGTATTAACCATCTCTGCATCCTCAGAACAGGCAAGTCACACACAGAGRCCCTCATCTGTCAATGGTCCCTGTGTTAGTGGGTCTCCATGAGGCTAGAACTGGAAAACTCCAAGGAAAGTACTTAGCGCTGTTCTTAGCACATGATCAGCACCATGACTGGTACTTAGTACATGATGGGCTCATGCACTTAGGGCACCTGGTTTTCCCCACCTCCAGGATTTCTGCACCTACTCCAACCCCAAGCACCAGAGACCCAAGTAAATCAGGATCTTCTCCTCTCCCCTGTCTGCTGCTGAGCTCTTAGTCCCTCCCAGCCCTGGCTCTCTCCATTACAGCTTGTGGCTCCCCTTGAGCCCGAACTGCTCCCAGACACAGCTAGTGCTCTTCCCCTGTCCTCCATCTTTCCTTTTGTAGGAACCAAGGAAGTCTAAATTGCTGACCATCAATACTGGACTTCCATTGCTGWATGGAATCTTATTTCAATCCCCTTCTACTCATCTTTTTGTTTGTCTTTCTTTTGGTGGGGAGTTCTATTACTAAGCACATCCATAGCCCTTTTCTAATTTTTATTTTGAGGCTGGTTCTCACTAAGTTTCCTAGACTAGCCTCAAACTTGTGATCCTCCTGCCTCAGCCTCCTGAGTAGCTGGGGTAATGTACACCATGTGCACAATGCCCATCTTTTCTTTTTTCTTTTTTGGTTACCCCTACCTTTTAATATTTTATTTAGAGACAGGGTCTAGCTGAGTTGCTTAGGGCCTCACTAAATTGCTGAGACTGGCTTTGAATCCTTCTGCCTCAGCCTCCAAAGCCACTGGAATTAACAGGCATGTGCCACCATGCCTGGCCTTGTCCACTTTTAATAACCCCTGTCACATACAAAGCTGGTGCAATTACAAAGCTCTTTCATGGTGCTCTGGTTCCTATCTACATCACTCAAAAGTCCAAGTCCTGAAAATGACTGGCAAGGCCCCACATGAGCTGGACCTGCAGACCCCCACTGCCCACTGACCTCACAGCCTACCACTCTCTCATCCCCCTACTGCCAGGCACACTCCCGCCCCAGCCTTTGCACCTGCTGGCCCCTCAGTTTGGAATGCTCTTCCCCTATAGCCACAGTCTTTCCCCTGTTCTTTCCAGACTCCTGCTTTTCTACCTTACCTGAAATGGAAAACCCCTGTCCCCCTTGCCCTCACTTATTTTCCTCATAGCACTTATCAACAGCTGTCTTGAATAGTTAGCTGTCTATTTGTTTATTGCTTTCTTCCCTACCCTGCATCAGAATATAATTTCCATGAGGTCAGGGTAGAGTTTCTGCAGTGTCGTATCCTGAGCAGCAGAAACAGTGTCTGGCATGTAGCAGGTGCTGGATAAATATTTGTTGAATGAACGAATGCCTAAACAAACCTATTACCTCATTTGGTCCTTGCAAACAGCCCATTTGACAGATGAAAGATGCTACGGCCCAAGTTCTTGTCYGCCGTTGCTCAGAGAGTGGAGGCCGAGCTGGACCCGGAGCCCTGCTGCAGCTTGCCTTCCCTCCACAGATGGCACATTCCTTGGCTGGTGAAGGATTTCAGACCATCAGGATTTCCCCTGACCTTTAGCCTGAGAGGAAATGATATCGCAACTGGAAGAATCCCCCGAGGGCCGGGAGCTGGCAGCAGAGGCCCCGGCAGCTGCAGGGAGTGTGTGAGTGGATTCCGAGTTGGCCAGAAAGGCAGCAGAACGAGCAGGATGCAGTGTAGAGCCTCCTGTCCCCGCCTGGCGTTACCGGGACCTTTCTCGACAGGAGGTCCCGCAGCTGCAGCTCCTGCTACAGAGTCCTGGGAGGGAGGGAAAGGGACTGCTGGTCAGGCGTCCATCAGGAGTTGGTGTGGGGGCCACACGGTGGGCTCCGGTGGCCCAGGGATTAGATTTTATGCTGAGCAGCGCTGAACACCCATGGGCTGTGGCACAGGGAAGATCAAGGGGTTTCTGACCAGGACACTGCGTCCTGACCCTTTAGCAACCCTTATTGGCTGAGTGACTCTGGGCTAATCATCTTAGGGTATCTTTCCCTCTGTAAAATGGGGGTTCCACTCCCACCTACCACAGAGTGTTCTAATGGGGATCAAGGGGAAATGCTTTATAAAGACTCTAAGTTTCTAAACAAATGAAATGTGTGTGTGTAAAGCATATATATATATGCTTGTAAATAGATTATCCTTTGAGAGCTTCCATGTGGTTTCATCTGTGCAATTGTCTCTCTTCTGGGCACAAGTCTGCTCCCTGGTGCCCTGCCCACCAGTCATTGGTGGTTCCTCTCACCCTTATATCCACTCTTCCAGCCCCTGCTATTGGCTCTGCCCCCAGCTAGGTTCCTGATCAGCAGGTGCCTGGCACCTCTACTACAGTGTGCTGTCCGCCCACCGACCAGGGCAAATCTCCTAACGGATACTGCCTTCCACTCCTGCCTGCCCCAGAGCAATCTTAGGAAAACATGCACCCTCCTCCCTCTCCTGTTTTAATACTTCCACAGGGTTGTGACAAAGAGAATAAAACCAAAGGTCACAGCATGACTGGCAGGGCCCTGTGGATCCTGCCTCCCTCTCGGGCCTTCCCCCCCTCCACATGGCCAGCTCACTCCGGATCCAGGTTCTTTCTCCATCCTTCCTTCTCCTGAGGATGCTCTGGCCCAGATCTCCACATGGCCGGATCCTGCTTATCTCAGATTTCAATCCCAGGGTCACTTCTCCAGAAGGCCTTTTCCAACCACCTTACACATGATTCCTGCAGTCGCCCTGGGCACACACTGCACTTCAGAGCACTTTCTGAACCTGCAGTTATTTTCTTCATCTGTTTTCTCACCTGCTTAGTGTCCAGCTTCCTCTTCAGAATGCACATACCTCGAGGACAGGAACCCCATCTTCACAGCTGGACCCACAACACCTGGAACTGCACCTGACACTCACAGTAGGGCTAGGAAGCACTTGGTGATTGACATTGTCCTGGTGGAGAGGAATGTGAACCGGGTGTATGGATGGTGGCCACTGGCAAACGCACACCAGCCTCACTGACCTTGGTGGATGCAGGACCCGCAGGATCTGATTTATATAGTGAACAGCAGTTTCTTCCAGGTTACTCTCCCGCAAGGGAAACCAGAATTCCTAGAGAACACCCAGAGCACCAGGRTACCAGCCACCACATTCCTTCTGGGCAGACCCCAGACAAGACAGCTTCCTCTTGCTTCTGGGCTTTCTTTACTTTTTATTTGTTCTAATTAGTTACATATGAAAGTAGAACGCATTTTGACAGATGATACATAAATGCAGAATAACATCTCTTTCTTCTGGTTGTACATGCTTTGGGCCTTTCTTATGGAGGTAGGGGTCAGAAAATGGACTTCTGGCTTGCCTCTTTGTAAATTTGATTCTGAGTGCTCTTGAGTTGATCAAGATTAATTGATTAATTGATTAATTTGTGAATGATATATGTGTTTATAAAAAGTAGGTTCTCTTTTTTTGCTATAGTATCTAGAATAGTATCTAGAATAGTGCCCATCACATGATGGGTGCTCAATAAACCTTGGTGGAACAAATCACGGCTCATGACCAGGTATGGCTCTTCCTTCCTGAAGCTGGTGCAGAGAAGGCTGATGTGTCTTCCTCTTTCTTTTCTCTTTTCTTATAGGTGGCCTTGAAGAGCAGCCATCTGAGAGCTGGCCAAATGCTACCGCCTTGAATACCAGCAGCCAGGAAGCTAGAAAGGGTAATGTATGTGAGGCCCCACCAGGTCTTTGGGTACCTTTTATATTTTTTAATGGCAAAAAACAGATAACTGCAAATTTACCATATTGACCATTTCAAAGTGTACCCTTTAGTGGCATTGAGTACATTTACAATGTGGTGTGACTATCCCCACAATCTATCTAGTTCCAGAACTTTTTCATCACTCTCAAAGAAGAACTCATACCTGTTAATCAGTCCCACACTTCCTTAGTCCCTGGCTTGAGAGATGACAAGACATGGGGAATCAGGCATCTCAGGGAATGAGAGGTCCTGGGAGGCCAGGAAGAGGGACAGCTGGGGTGGAGATGGGGGGGTGGCTTAGACCAGAACCCCTAGAGAGGGGACGGGTGAGGTTGCAAGGCTGTTTGTGGACAGGGACCACCTGTCAGACTGGAAGTACTCCCATGGCCTCTCTGCACACAAGGCTCAGACATGAGTGTGGCCTACCAGTCCTGAGAGCTTCTAGCTTGGAGGTCACTAGAGGCACCTCAATTTTGGAGAAGCCTTTCCCATTCAGAGTGAGGGTGGAGGAGAGAGCCTGCATGACTCTCCTCTGGCTGTGGCCTTCAGGATTTGGCTGATGGTCAGCAATGGCATTTCTTCTATATCAAGCTAACTGCAAAGCAAAGCAATAATTTTTTTTTGGTATTGGGGAGTGAGTCCAGGGGCACTTAACCACTGAGCCACATCTCCAGCCCCTTTTTGCATTTTATTTAGAGACAGGTATCACTGAGTTACTTAGGCCTCAATAAATTGCTAAGACTGGCTTTGAACTCCTGATCCTCCTGCCTCAGCCTCCTGAGCTGCTGGGATTATAGGCGTGCCCCACCTGGCAGGAATGATTTTTAAATACCAGAATCTTTTGTTTCAAGGATGCCTCTACAGGGATGAAATAGAAATAATTATTTGCTTTACTTTATGTTTTTGCTTTAATGTTAACTTTCATACATATTCACGTGTATATATAATTTCACACACATTCCCACAAATGCATAAATGTGGTGATGTCATCATATACTATTTCTTAGTGTTTCCTTTTGTTCTTTTCCCTTTAATTTAGTACCCCCTTCATCTTCTTTTTCCCCTACCACCCTCTACTCTGTCTCCGATAATGCCTGCTAATGACTTTGTGTGTACCATGCACCTATGTTGACATATGCGCTTATATAGAAATATACATATGTAAGCAGACATAAGCATATATACAGATATAGGCTTTGTCATTGTTTTAAAGTTTGATACATATTCTTACATGCATCATGCTTTTCTCATCAATACTTCACGGGAAACCCCTTCAAGGTACTTGTTTTAACTTAAATTTATGCTTTGGAATAGTTGCAAAATATTCCTGGTACGGATGGATCATACTGTGTTCAATCATTCCCTTCTTAATTAGCATTCCCTTCACTTTTGGTTCCTGACTCCATGAACAATGCCTGACATTCCCTCACAGATAGCCTTTAACACTTCGTATGTTTTTAAGAAATGTTGCTAGATTGCAAGTCCTCTGTACACATATACCTCTGTGACAATTCACATTTCCATAGCAACTTATAAGTGTGCTCCTTTCCCCAGATCCTCACTAGTACAAGGTGTTGTCAGTGTTTTTAACCAGTGAACAACAACAGCTTATTGTTACTTAATTTATATTTCTCTGACTGTTGGTGGTTTTGAGCATCTTTTTCTGGGTTTGCCAGTAATTTGGATATGCATTTCTGGGATTTGCCTATTTCATTTTCTCTTTCTTCTCCAAATGATTGACTATTGGGCAAAACTACCTTTAAACTTGATGACTTCAAAAGGTGATTTGTTATCTTTCATCACTTTGTGGGCTGACGGGGCTCAGTGGGGCAGCTCTTGGACTGACGTTGCCTGGGGTCACTAATTTGAAGGCATTCATCTGGCAGCTGAATGGGGCTGGAAGGTCCAGGAAAGCTTTAGTCACCCCTGGTCCCCCAGTGTACCTCCACATGGACCCTCTCCCCATTCAGTTGTCCAGACTGAGAAGTTCTACAACATGGCAACTGGCTTCCTGGAGGGAGGAAGCAGAAGATGCAGACCATCCAAGGCCTGGAATTCAGAACTCCAAACATGCTGCCTCTGCCACATTCAACATGGATTCCACAGCATGCGAGAATCAGCGTGAGCTCACGGGATGAGGGGACTTGTGGGGGCCATACCTGGAAACTATCACTGCATCTTATCTGCTCACCAGCAATAGAAATTATTAGAGTTTTTTATGCTGACCGTTTTTGCAGGTATAATAAACTGGGATAGTCAGACACCCTTGGGTTTGAATCCCAGCTCACCCATTTAGTAGCCATGGCTTTGATGAAGTTATTCATCTCCTTATATGAAACTCGGGGAGAATTGGAAATTATATTTATGTCAAGTGCATAGCCAGGTGTCTGGAACTTAAAAGGTGCCCATGAAGGTAGCTCTTCCACTTTTTCCTCCCCACCTCCACTTCCAAGAATTATATTATCCAAYATTGAGAGTGCATCATTTACCTCTGGACTGGGATTCCACAGCTGTTCCACAGCTGCACAGAAACACAATTACAGAGGACAGGAAGGAACAAGTCTGCTGCAGCCCATTGAAATTCTGCCTCTAAGTTGGGCTGCACACGGGACCCGCACTGCAATAAAAGGTCTTGGGCTTTCTAAGGAGGGTGAGGACCACGCTGCCCTCTCTACACATATACCTCTGAAACTGGCTGTGTCCATAGTCTGCAGCCCCTCAGATGATCTTGGTTTGTTCAGAGAGGTTAGTGATGTCAAGGATAGGCCAGTCTCTACTCTGCATTACAGGGGCAGACAAGCAGGTCTCTAGGCATCAAGGGCAATCCAGAGGAGGAAGGAGACTCCAAAGGTGAGGTGAGGACGGGCTGATCCTTCCCATCCCGTCCCTTCAGGACAATGTTGGGCACCAGCCTGGTGTGCCTCTTGTTTTTGCTTGAATGATAGATAAGTGTGCCAATCTCAGATTCCTCTTTAATTGCAACCTACCCCCCTTCCGCTCCCCGAGAACAAGAGACCGCCCAAGCAGGAGAAAGGCTCTGGGGGAAGCGTCCGGGCCGCTGGTTTCAGCCGCAGGTTTATTTCCTGGCATTATGTGGCTCCCTTCAGCCCTGACGGTGGGGATTTGTGCCTGCGGCATTGTGTGTGTGTGTGTGTGTGTGTGTGTGTGTGTGTGTGTGTGTGAATTGCTGAACAGCAAGCTCTCTCAGCACCCCCGGCAGAGGCTTTGGTCAGAGAAGCCCCTTCCCTTAGAGATGGGAGCTTAGCTTTCGGTGGCCGAGAATGAGATGGATGAAATGGAGTCTGTCACTGCTCCACAGTGGAACTGTGACTGGACAGAACTGTATTTCTAGAATCATATTCATAAAAGAGAATGGAACTTTCCCTTCAGTCRTAGGCCCTCAGGCCTTTATACTGCAGTAAAGAATAATGGAATCTGGTTGCACCGAGGAACAAGGGGCCCACAAACTTGGGTGCAAAATGCCCCTGCATGTCACCTGTGGCAGTGCATTTGGGTGTAATCACCAAGCCCGACTAGCTTCAGGCCCACATTTTAACCTGTCCCCAACCCAGGCCTTCATAGTAATCACTGTAGCTCACACCAAGCCCCTCCTCACCGCAGGTGTTCGATGTCCTTTGGCCAGTGCTGAGGGCCATTACCAAGTAGGTATGACGCATCGTAATCCTTGCCAGTGTACCCCATATTAAATGGACTTGCCTTGGAAATTTGCTGCGACCTTGCTTGTGTGTTTGAGAAAGGTGACCCTGCTCAATCACCAGGGTGGATCCAGGATTAGGGTGTATTCCTGCAGGAAGTATCTCCGTCCTTGGGTTTAGGGCGTGGCAATAGGAGTTTTAGGGAAGTTGAGGTTGAAGATTATTGATGCTGGGATTAGGGTGTTCCTGCTGCTTGTTCCCGTTGAGTTCTCGTGAGATTAAAATGGGATTTGAAAAAAGCCTCGTGGAGTAGGATTTGGGAGCGGACATATTGGAATTGCCCCTGAACGTGTGTGGAGGCTGGTGTGAGATCGGGAATAAAGAATTGCTGTTTGAACCTACAAAGCTGTGTGGTGGCTCGTGATTCTGTGCCAAGCCGAGACATTGGCACGTGGCTTTTGGCAGGCCAGCTCAATGCTCACTGGAAGTCAGACTCAGAAGGGGAAGTGGTTTATTCAAAGCCACACAGGTAGCAAATGGCAGCACTTTTCTTGAGCTTAAGTTCCCTTGCTCCCAAATACCTTCATCTTAACCTTTGAGCCCTATCAGTGGTTCCCAGACTTCACTGAGCTTGGTCAACAGTGGGGAGATTTTAAAAGTGCAGATGCCTTTACTCTAAGATTGGCCTGTTGAGTCGCAATCCTTGGGCAGAGGACCACACCAGCATTTTAAAAAGCTTCTATCTGATTCTAGCTGTACAATCAGGTTGAGAACCCTTGTGTAGGATAATCTACTATTTCCCTTTTTACCAAGGGGCTGCTCTTGAGTTTTTCAGGATTGGGGCAGGTAAGGTGTGGATTTGTCCATCCGTCATGGGGTGAGGATTTTGCAGATGGCCGGACAGTCAGGTGTATACTTCCAGTGTAGGAGTGACCCTCTGCTTAATCTGAGGATTGCAGTTGCTTGCTTGAGAATGCCGGACCAGGCCTGGTTCTGTTTATGACATGGCTGTGCCTTCAGCCGGAAATGGAACACTGAACAGTTATGCCGTTTTGCTCTGTCAGAGAGGAAAGGGCCCCTCCCAGAGCCAGAGAATTTAAATGGGCTTTATCCCCCTCCCTCCTCCACCCCCAGCGTGTTAAATCCTTTCAGACGCCCCTGAGCTCCTCTTCAAATGCAGGACTCTTGGCCATAATAAATAATTACATCCTTCTATTTGGACTCCAATTCCAGATAGTAGTAATCCAAGAAAATCCAATAATGACAGTTGCATTAAGATCCTCCTTCCAGGCTAAGCAGAACA